GGGGTCCTTATTATAGTTATAATATACGATGTATGCGGGCATGTTAGAATCCTTAGGGTAGGGTGTAACAATGCAGGAAACTGTGGATTTACCGAACTATGTTGCCCCCTTCAGGCAGCAGTGTCTACAGCTTTATTTCTAGCGCTGCTCGATTCTGCGAAGGAGGGTTTTCAACTTAGATCACTCCAGAAGGGCGAAGCGTTAAACGAAATACATTCTAGCATAATATAGACGCCTTAACAATTAGAATAGGGTCTTGNNAGTTATAATAAGGAACGCCCCAAAATAGCATTGGCAGTTATTTCGGCCCCTACATTACCAAGTTGTAAGTGTAAGAAAGCACGATGAGGCAAGATCGAGGCTCCCGCAGCACGGTTAACAGCGGCTATAGCAACAGCATCTGAAGCTACAAGAGGGGCCCGCGGCTGCACCACTACTTGGGTTTAGGTTTTAGGGTTTAGGGTTTATTGACCATCAGCCGTATGTAAAAGCTAGGGGTCCTAAGTGGTGCCCAGAACTACCTGGAGAGGCTCATGCTTTGTGTTTTAGGGTTTGGGGTCTAGGGTTTGGGGTTGATGGTACTTCAAAGTCTAAGAACTCCTCCTGCAATAGGCTGTTGAGCACAAAGCCCGAGCCACGTGAGGCGTCTGGGCCATTTTGAGCCCCCTAAAACCCGCACCCTGACGGTCAGGGCTTAAGTAGACTGCCTACCTATGGGAGCCCAGTTACCTACATAGTGGGTTACTGCCTGTTGAATCCCATATACACCTTGTAGTACCCTTAACCCAGCAACTTACTTTATGGGTACTAACTGGGCTCTTAGGGCGAGCTGGGAGTTCAGCAGCTCTACGTTTAAGGTTTCGGTTTCTTCGGTTTAGGCTATTGGTGTTTGGGCTTGTGGGGCTTAAGGATTTAAGGCGAGCTTAGGATTTAGGGCTCCTGCGGTTCAGGCCCCCCAAAAACCAGGTCCGATATTTTTCCTGCACTGCCATTGTGGTCACAAGACTTCGCTCACCAGTTCCTCGGCTTTGAGCACATCTGGGAGGGTTGTTTAAGGTTTAGGGTCTATAGGGTTTAGGGTTTGGGGCGTAGGATTCTGTAAGGGGGGTTCAGGTTTAAGGCTTTCGGGCTGGTGGCTTAATTAGGGCTTTTTAAGGCTTTCAGGGTGGTTAGGCCCGGCATGCTTTAAGGGGATCTACAAGGGCGCTATGTAGGGCTTTAATGGTTTTAGAGTTTGAGATGTATCGGTCCGTGCACGCAGGTTGACGCACTGCGTCTGAGACTCAGACTGTAGACGCTGAAGTATTGTTGCGGTCTTAGGGTTACACCCTACACAACCTTCGCAAGGGCTTTTAGACTAAAGTTGACTAAAAACAAATCATGATATGGAACCTAAGAAGGTACAGGTAAACCTAAACCGCAAAATAATCAAATCGTGGAGTTAAGCTTATAGCCACAAAACCCTTGGACAGAAGTTAACCGCAACACCTAGATTTAGATGCTTCTGTGCACCCCTCAAGCATGTTGAGATGCAATGGACAATTAAATGACATGCATACGTGCATATTTTGATGCAGAATCACAGTATCTAGACAAGGCAAAATTCTGAAATAACCCGGGAATTAATAGAAATGTAACCGTAAAAAAGTGGATAAATCAACACAGCAGTAACAAACACAAATATATGAAAGACACCTCGGCCCCAGTGCTCGAAGCAGCCTCAGAGGAGCTTTGCTTTCGCCTCTTGGCGGCCTCGGGTTGCGTTGAGCCCAAGGACAGCCTGTCCAGCTGAGACGTGACCTCCTCCTTCTTCCGCTGGAGGTAGTACCCCATGCGCCGGCAGTGCGCAGGAGGCATGAGATGCCCCCCATCGTGGTAAGCGTCGCAAAGGAAACCCGTCGGGTGTAGACCAGTTACCGGGGTAAGTCAGCACCTCTGGTAACTCTGGTAGGTCTTCTTCCGCGGACTGCTCAGAGGAGAGCGGTCGTAGTCGGGTGCCTCCTCCTCTTCAGGTTGGCCTCCGCCCGCTTGCATCCAAGTCCGCTCCTTCGTGACGGCAGCGCTGCGTGAAGGCGTCTTGAGCCGGTGTTAATGCCGTCTTCCAGCAATTAAAACTGCTCCGCAATCCAGCTGCTGAAAATGCACAGAGCACCGCACCTTTTGGGATGATGCTGGGATTTCTGCTATGACTTATCGTATACTCCTTACTGGGGGGGATATCGGAAGATCTGAGAGTAAAACAATCATCGTGCGGCAACAGTGGTGAGCTGGTGATGCTTTGGGCATGCCCCCTTGGGTGTTTCAATGCAGTCTGGGGCCATAAATTCTTAAATCCCCGAAACCCTTCAACTCCCCGTAATTAAACACTACACCGTGAACCCTGGTTCGGTGTTGAAGGCAGCCTGCTCGAGTGCTACAGCAACCTTCATGGGAACCCTGATAAAAAAAAACTAAGCCCCAAAAGCCTTCTCAAACTTTTCGCATTATACTGGGAATGAGCCACGGCCCCATGCACTTTCGCTTGAAAGAGGCCTGCCCGGCTGCTATGCCGTTTACGATACCGGGCTTAGGGTTTAGGGCTCGGTCCCTGGAGAGCCCAATGCCTCCGAATTCAGGAACATGTAGCAGTAAAGCACATTCGGGAATATAATGGTTTAGGGCTTAGGGTTTGGGGTTTACGGAATATATATGGACCATATAAAGTATATACCTAGCCCTGCGAACACAGCTTGCTGGCGCGTGTCGCAGACCATGCGGGTCGACGGCACCGAACGAAGTAGGGCAAGCCGCGACTGAATGGATAAGGCCTCGAAGGCCTTGCGGGCTTAGGGATCAGGGCTTAGGCCTTTCTGAGAAAGGGGACTCTGCAAGGGTTCTGGAAAAGGTTCGGGCTTTTGTAGTTCAGGGCTGAGGGTTTAGACCTGTTGGTTTAGGGCTTAGCCCTAGAAGTAGGATTGGGTGCGCGGTGTCGGTTCAGGATTTGAAAACTCAATCCATGCAGATTGTGAGAGAACTCTGCATTCTCAGATTAGGCACCTATGGCCCAAACCAAACCCGACCTAAACCCCCATGAAACCTTCCGTTTAAGGCTCTTCTTTATGATCTCCTCATACAGTGTCTGAGAGCCTGAATTATTTGGGGTTCAACTCTGCACACTAGACACTGAACCCTAAACCCTTTAAGTGTTTAGGCTTCTGTGTGCCCTAAACCCTAAACCTTTACGGTTCAGAGACCCAAAGCCCTCAACCCCAAGCCCGAAACCTTCCAAACCTTTCTAGGATGCTTGCAATCCCAAAAGACTTGGGGCGCTCAGGTAGAGGGGCCTTAGCAAGTAGAATGCGGACTTATTCGGTTTAGGGTTTAGGGATTTAGGGGTTTAGGGTTCAGGGTTTTAGGGTTTGTTTAGGGTTTAGGGTTTGGGGCTTCAGGGTATTAGGGTGTGTTTAGGGTTTGGGGGTTTCTGTCGGGGTTTGACAGTAGCGGCCTGAAGGGCTTTGAACGATACTCTCCTCAGAATCAAAGGCCTTCCTCTCGTGACAAGATTTGGGATCTAGAGGGTCTTTGTAAGGGCTCTATGATATGGTTGATGATATACATCCTGCATTATCCATAATAATAAATATACCATAATTCCCATATTTCAGGGTCCTTAAGGTAATGGCAGGATTTATATCATCAACCGTAGGTCTAGGGTATGACTTCCAACAGTCCGCGCGCCGAGGAGGGCCTGCTGTCATACACAATTTAAAACTCCAAGGCCGAACTTGAACCCTCCAGGCCCTAAGCCCTAAACCCTGGGGGCTCTAGTACCCTCTATAGTAGGTAGCCTGGAGGGTTAGGGCAAGGCTCGAGGGTTTAGGTTTTCGATGCGTTCCAAGGGCTTAGATACCTTACGCCCCTACCCCCCCCCCCAATCTCCCAAAGTTCCTTCAAGATCCCTGAAGTAAGGAATACTGAGGAAAATACGATGGACTAGAACAGGATCACCAGTATGGTCTAATATATATATATATATATATATTCCTGAAGTAAGGAGTATTCAGTATTCGAAGATCTGGGTCGCACCCACAGGGCCCGCTGCACAATTGCAATAGGAATTGCAGAATTGAGACTTTGTTCCTGAAAGAACAGAGTAGCTACTAGCGGCGACAACAGCAATGGTGCTTGGGATTATGTTCCAGAAACCATAATATACTAAGCTTCAGCACGACACATTGGAGCCACATTCCTAAGCAGCAATAAGATAAGCGATTCATCCTACCCCCTACCTAGGAAACCTGTGCTTAGTTGGATGTAGTGTGCAACAGTCCAGAGTGATCCGAATGAAAAACCTTGACAAACAGGCTGTTGGCTTCCGCTGCTGAACCCTAGACCCCTAAACCCTTGTTAAGTGCTATAGTTAAACACAAACATCTGCACCTCGAGACTCTGTAGCGCCGGCCGGGGCGGCGCTGATGGCGGCAGCGGAAAAGCCACGGAAATGGCGGACCTCGATCTGTGGTAGCATACCCAGAGGGTCCTAAACCTATATAACCCTAAACCCTAAACCCTAAACCCTAAACCCTAAACCCTAAACCCTAAACCCTAAACCCTATATAGTAAATTACTGGGGATATCAGTACTATACGGTTTCAGGGACAGAAGCTCACTACATAGGTAACTGGCCTCCTAGGCATAACCCCTCTGAGGTCCAGTAAGCCTAGAGCCCTGAAGCCAAAACAAACTTGTAAACCCTCAGCCCTACTATCCCGCTATGAGGGAGTTTCAGAAAACATGGAATGCTCGCTATATGGGAACCGCTTCAATTCAAGGCCAAAGCTGGCGCTATGTGGATATATGGACACTGAAGTTGGCTTTCAATCCCTGAGCCTTTTTGGAAACAGCGCCCTGGCATAACAAGGCAGTGGTAGCCCGATTGGCCCAAAGGAACCGTAAAAACATATCCAGGACGATCCTTCTAAACCCGAAGCCCTATAAACCCAAAACCAGTCTTTGGAAGACCCTAAGCTATCAGATCTGAGGAAGCACCTCTAAACCCTAAACCCTAAACCCGAGCCCTATAGCAGAAACCAAGCTGTTAAAGATCCTACACCATACTGTTGAGCTCTGCGGCAGCAGCGCTGCTGTCTCCGCATTCGATGTCTCAGCCAATTCCTGTGTTTTGTGTTTATACTTTTTGTATATGCACCTTAAACTTAAGAAATTCGGTTTTGGGCGGCGATAAGAGACCTACCACTAGATGCGATTAGGTCGGGTTTTCTCATGGTGAGAAGCCCGATACATGTAGGGCTTGCATTTTGTTGTAGCCTTGAAGCTGATACTCGCCTTGAACCTTAAACTTAAACCTCCAACTCTACAACTGAGCCCACAACTCGAAAACCTTAGAATCCTCAACCTGACAATCCTCTATGGGAGGTGTAGAACACAAGGGGCCGTGAAATGAAGCCTGCATGCCATGATCCCAAGGCTGCATTCCAAGTTGGATATTCAGAAGTTAGGTTATGCTTGGGCGGATGAATATACATGGTTCTACGATAATAGGTCCCTGGAGGCCCAGAATAAGGATCCGAATAAGGGGAATTTCCAAAGAAGCCTTCTTTGCGAGATCCTCAAGATAGCAGCCTTCATGATGAGACCCCAAAACCTTCTAAAGCCGAAGCCTAAGCTACATCCAAAACCCGAAAGGTAAGCCCCAAAACCTACGGGAAGTTCACGGAGTTGCAAGCGCAAGGCTTCGAGGTCTTTAAGGCTCCCTGTGCCGTATAAGTATGCGCCTTATGATTAGTATGTACTTGAGCCTTAGGCTTAAACGGCCACTATAACTAGAATCATCCCGTGAAGGGGCCAAGTGGTATCCGTTTTAAGGTGACCATTTATGCTTCGGATCCTAGAACTAGAAAATACAAGGCTGGCAAACGGGGGCAAAAATGTAATACCTAAACCCTAAACCCCTATAAACCCTAAACCCTAAAATTAAACGGGGCCCCTGAAGGAGCTCTTAAAAGGATATCTTACGAGTTGTTCCAGCCCGAATATGACGCGGACCCTTAGGAGGAGGTCGCAGACTCGGGCAGTCTAAGGCAGTTGAATATAGGGGCCTTGATAATTAGAATAGGGTTTTGGGGCCCATCATACTATAAGTGTAATAAGGAATCCTCCAAAACCCTATTCTAAATACTAAGGCCCCTACATTGGAGAAAAACCCTAAACCCGCCTAAACCCTAAACCCTATTCTAAATACTAAGGCCCCTACATTGGAGGTTTTTGGATGCTCGGGCAATATCAAGCGGCCCGTAGGGCATCTTCTGCTTTTCGGGTGGAGGGTGTAATGTGGGGGCCTAAATAAATACCAATACTAGTTTGGGGGGTCCTTATAATAAATTCTAGTGTAATGGGCCCCCAAACCTTTTTCTATGGATGTATCTAATCATTAAGGCCCCTACACTTTAAAGAACCCTATGAAACCCTATTTTAGTTATTAAGGCCCCTATAGTAGGGTTGGGCTTTTAAGTGCTGGAGGGTTCAGGGTCCTCGGTTTTGGGGTTTTGACATTTCGGGACCCTAAACCCTCAACCACCTAAGCCCTAAACCCTAGACCCTAGACCCTAAACCCTAAACCCTAGACGTGGTAACTTAAACTTAACCCTAAACCCTGAACCTGAACCCTGGACCGTAGGGGATTAAAGGGATCTACAGTAAAAAAAAATATGGTTTCCTGATTATGGTAACTTACATTAAGTCCCGGGTCTAGAGTTGAGGCTTTAAGGATTTAGGGGCTTAAGGTTCAGGGGTTTAGGGTTCAGGGTTTAGTGTTTCGGCTTCTGGGAGTAGGGTTGATCGTTAGGGCTGAACATTTGGAGAACTTGGCCAGATTGGACGCTCCACGACAAACTAGGAGAGCCCATCAAATTCCGGAAACCCTCTCAGCCCTAAGGAACAACCTTGCACCTCAAGCTTTAGACTCCCTTTAGGGTTCAGGGTTTAGGGTCTATCGACCAACTTTTGAGCATGAGCAGGCACTTCATGCACAGCAGTCAATCCTTTGCAGGGGCCACATCGTCTGCGCCGCTGTCGTACTCGGGAGGCTCCTTCAAGTGGCAAGTTTACCCAGAGCGCCCAAGGCCCATGGATTAAGGAATCGACCTTAATTTATTATGGACAATGCAGGATTTATATCATCAACCAGGTAACAAGCCTTTCTAATCTACAAAAAAAACAAATCAAACTACAAACAAAAACCGCTTCAAATATATGAAAACCAACTGAAATCCGATGAACATAATTAACCGTATACAAAGCACCCTAAACCGTAAACCCTAAACCCTAAACCCTAAACACTAAGCCCTGACCCTAAACCGCACGCTCCTTTGGAGCTCTGTCGACGCCGGGCTGCGCGCCCAGTCGCCCCCGGGCCCAGGCCTTGAGTTGTGCTTTTTCATAGCTACCCTCAGGGGTTTAGGGTTTAGGGTTTAGGGTTTAGAGTTTAGGGTTTAGGGTTTAGGGTTTAGGAGCTACCCTCAGGGCCCCGGTTCTCATCGGGGTTTAGGCCTGGAGTTTAGGGTTTAGAGTTTAGGGTTTAGGGTTCCTTGAAAGGGTTCCTGCAAGGGTTTTTTGAGAGTACCATAAGGGTTTAGGGTCTAGGGTATACGGGTCCATGTGCCCAAATACTACATACTTTGGCCTTGTCCGAATTTAAATACAAGACTTTGGGGCCAAAAGTATACACAAGTCCATACACCCTAAAACCTTGGAGCTACCTCGGGATTTTCATGAGTAGTTCTCTAAATTAGGGTCCCTTTCTGGATCCCCAAAATAGTACGGCACCCTTGCAGAAAGGATCCTAAAGGGGGACCCTATTTAGAGAACTACCTTTATTGGTTGAGGTTTCCCAGGTTAAACATAGATGGTCGGCTTCTTTTTGTAAGCCGTTCAGTTAAGATGACCGGGCCAGTTTGCCGGGGGAGGATCTTGTTTAAGACGGTTTCATGGGCTTTCCACGGGCTTTTGGAGGAGCTGTAATGTAGGGGCCTTGATAATTAAAATAGGGTTTCATAGTGTTCCTTTGAAGGGTTCTATGAAGGCCACTTTAAGGGTTTAGGGTGGGGGGCCTAACATTAGAATAAGGGTTGGGGGCCCCTCATACTATATTAATTATAATAAGGACAACCCCAAAAATAATAGGGGTAATTATGTAGGCCCTTACTTACAGTATACAGCTGTCAGCCGTCGTTCGCCAGAAAAGTTGAGCCGGTGGGGCTTCCAGCTAGTGGAGCCCGGAAAATTACCTAAACTTGGGTTTAGGGTTTAAGGCTTGACCTAAACATATGATCCGAAATCCTGAACCCTGAACCCTAAACCCTGAACACTCAAGGCTCCAAGTCCGCCTCTCGCACTGTGAATGCAGCCAAGAGTACAGTACTGGTCTTGCATAGGAATCCCAAGACTCAATCTGTTTTTCAAACCTTAAACGCTAAAGTTTTGACTCAAAGTCCCATGCCCATCATTCATAGATCCTGAAACCAGAACCGTAATATAGGGGGGCTTAACAATGAGAAGAGGGTTTCAAAGGGTTTCTTTAAAGGGTTCTATAAGGGCTGCTTTCAGGGTTCAGGGTGTAGGGGCCTTAATAATTAGAAAAGGGTTTTGGGGCTCACTATACCATACCTATAACAAGGAACCCCCCAAATAGTATTGGTAAAAAATCTAGGGCCCCACGTTAAATGAATGAACCCTTGGACCCCGGAACCCTTTGGGGCATGGGTTTGGGCGTGCAGAACTTGCATTGCACGATCTGCCAGCGGATTAGGGTTTAGGGTTTAGGGTTTAAGGGTTTCAGTAGCTCACTCTAGAGCCTTTACAGGTTGCAATCCTGAAACTATGAGCCATAAAGCCGAAAGCTTTGACAAGTGTTTGACAGTCTGCTCTGTCGAAGGGTTCAGGCAACATCTTTGGAGGCTTCGAAAACCTTGGCAACTGCTTGGTCTAGCCCTTTTTTGGCTCAGAAGTCCACCGAAAACCTTCTGAATTCCTAAGCCCTATAAACCCTAAGTAATCGGCCAAGACAAGCACGGGCTCGTAGGGCATATTGGCACATGTTTGTCCATGGGAAAATCATATCATATAGGGGTCTAAGACCTAAGAAGGCTCGACAGAGTCCATGTATATGGAAAATTTGGAGTATATACTTTGGGGCCAATGTGTTTACTCGAAGGGAGCATGAGCCCTGACTCAGGACTGAGGGTAGTGTTTTGGGCATTGCATAATGTCGGGACCCCTCAACCATGTAGGCTTGCCATGCGCACCGAAGACTGCAAATCATAGGCTTTAGGGTTTAGGGCTCTCTCGCCCAATCCTCTTGCCCAGTCTGCTGCCAGGAAGCCGATAAAGCCAATGCTACCAGGTCCGGGATGTTGCAGCTTCTGCACGTTTCGTGTCAGAGCTTCTGTGGGTTATTAGCGTTTACCTGTAGCCGAAAAAACTACCTTTTTAGGGTTCCTTATTAAGGCTTCTATATACACCTCCTTCAAAAGGTCGGTTTTTTGGGCCACAGGTAGGTTTAGGGTGTTGAAATAAATTGCAGCTTTGCTCCCATGCCCTGCAATAAGCCCAAAGCTTGAACCTTGAAATCCCAAAGCCGCTTGCACGGTTTAGGGTTTAGGGTTTAGGGTTTAGGGTTTAGGGCCTAGCACTCCTGAAGCCACGGGCCCCCGAAAGACCAAAACACTAAAGCCGGTGTAGGGTTTGGGTTTATGAGCCCAGAAGAGCCATTATGGTCCTTAATAGTTTGTATTTTGGGGTATAATAGTGGTAGTTGGGGGTCTGGGTAAGGTTCAAGGTTTTAGGGCTGAGGCTCTAAAATGAGGTTTTAGTGTTGAGGGTTGAGAGCTTTATAATGCTGTAAGGTTTAGAGATTCAGTTTGTAAGGCTTTGACGCTTCATAACAGGCCTAGGTCCTAGGTTTTGGGGGGGGTTAGGGCTTTAGGGGTTTTCGAGTTTTGGAGCTGTAGGGTACAGGGTTGAGAGTTTCGGCTGGAGGGCGTCAGGGTTTTGGAGTTTTACCTATAGTCTCCATTGCAGTTCCTTTTTTGGTTTAACCAAGTATATACTAAGGAGTTTATAAGGTATCCCCAAAAAGGAACTACAATGGAGACTATAGGTAGGGCTCAGGGTTTCAGGGTTTAGGGTTGCAGCGCGTCAGGCTTTAGGGTTTTAGTGCTTGGGGCCTAGAATAAGTACACCCTACACCACAGGCCTGAACAGTTACAAAACCTGTCTGTTCTAAATACTTCGAAAGAAGATGTTGTAGGAACCGTGCTGGGGCAGTTTACCCCTTGATTATAGTATCCTGAAGCCCAAGAACCCTAAAATCCTATACTGTCCTTACAATAACCCTCATTATAAATTATAAACCCCTAAACCCTAAACCCTAAACCCTCTAAGAACTAATTGGGGCCCCCAAAACCCCCAAGACCAGCCTCTCCAAGTCCTTCAGAACTCGGATGCAGGTGTTCGAGAGCTCGTTGGCAGGGACAACTGCGTGACTCTCCTGGACCATCCACTAGGGGATCGTCACGGGCCTTAGGGTTTAGGGTTTAGGGTCCATCTAACATCCCTAAGGGTCCAAGTACTAGTATGGTATATACTTTCGGGGCCCAAATACCTACTAAGTACCTATAGATAATGGTACTTGGACCCTTTGGGTATGGGATTGTCAAGGCCCTTAGGGTTTAGGGCTTAGGGCAAGTAGAACAGTGTTCTGTTAAGGCTTCCTTTTGAAAGGGCTTCGATAAGGGTGTAGTCCAACTGCGTTGCTGATACGTCTCGGTGGGTATTGGTGAATATACCCTTTACTAAACCTTAAACCCTAAACCTGAACCCCAAGAAATGATGCTCCTAATTATTCAGCCCTCCCCCACATGTTAACCTACTAGTCCCCAACTCTTCTCTCTCGTAACCCTGCAACCCCATTAAGGATCCGATAGGTCTAAGCCGCTTCTAATCGCGGATGTGGAGATGCGTTTGTAGGGAGATGTGTGTTGCGGGAAAGCGAGCGAGCTGGAGCGAGAATCGAGAGAAAGTGAGAGAAGGGAGAGAGAAGAGAGAGATAGAGAGAAGAAAACGAGAGAGAGGTAGAGAAAGAGAAGAGAAAGAGAAGAGAGAGAGAGAGCGAAAGAAAGAGAGAGAGAGAGAGAGCGAGCACGCAAGGAAGCCAAAGAAAGAAGTAGGCAAGCGAGCGAGGGAGAGACAGACAGAGAGAGGAAGTTGAAATGACCTCGTAACCCAAGACCCCACCAAACCATCAAGTCTGGAACCCCAAACTCCGCGTCCGGGGATGCCAGAAATCCTTAAAGCCTGCATCCGAGAAACAAACTTAAAACGTTTCGAAGCCCCACGCGCCAACCAAGAACCCCGACTTGGGCCCAGGTCTTTGTCACTAGTGTACGGGCCTTAATAATTAGACTAGGGTTTTGGGGGTTCCTTATCATAACTATAGTATAATATACGCTCAAACCCGATTCTAATTATTAAGGCCCCTAAATTAAGATCAGCCTCGCATCCTCTGTCCTGCTTGACTATCTAGGTTCCCCAGTAGACCCCTATTAATAAGGGTGCCCTTTTTTCCTACCGTTTGGGTTTTAATTTAATAAGGGATTCCCTAAAAAAACAAAAGGGCAAAAGGGTACTACTGGGAAACCCTAAACCCTAAACCCCTAAACCCTAAACCCCAAACCCCTAAACCCTAAACCCTAAACCACACGGTTTAGGGTTTAGGGTTTAGGGTTTACGACACGCAAGGCTCGAGGGTTTGTGGAGTTCATGGCTTCGCCTGACGGCCTCGGCATCACCCATACCAGGAGCTGTGCAAATACGGTTGATAGGGTTTAGGGGTTTGGGGGTTTAGGGGTTTAGGGTTTAATTTAGGGTTTAGGGTTTAGGGTTTAGGGTTTAGGGTTTAGGACACTAAACTATGGGAATTATGGTATGTTGCTTATTATGGGTAATGAAGGATTTAGACCATCAACAGTAGGATCAAAGGTCGTGATGTTCACCCGGGGGCCCATGACTTCTGTGCAAGGCTTGCCCATGCTAAAGAAAAGGTAGCCTCAAACCCACGAGGCTTTAGGGTTTAGGGTATAGGGTTTAGGGTTTTTTTTGAGCTCCTTTTTCCACCTGCAGAGATCCCACAGTCAGAAGGCCAAATCGGCCAGGAGAACGGGGTACCCAGAGGCCCAAACTGCACAAGAGCCGCACAGCACCCCCACACTAGCCCTCTCACTGCTCACCGTCAGTCGACAACGTCAACCCTGTTGCCCTTCACGCAGACCAACGTCAGCCACCGATCCCGAGGACTCCAGCAGGGCCCGCTGCGTCTGTACCATGTGCAACACTTCGGAACCATACCGCTCGGCAATCTCGCTATCCATCAGCCCGCCCTGCATTGCCGTCAAGACCAGCTGGTTGAAGACATGCTCCGTGACCTCCATACTCCCATTCACACTCTGTGCAAAGGGCGGGACAGTGTCCAGCTGCGTGGAGGTGCCAGGCATGCCATCCGTGCCACCCCCCTGGCCAAGCAACTGCGTCGCAATCTCGTCCTGGTCTTGCTCCTCCTCAATCCATGTGCGCACAGTGAATCGAGCCGCCCCATCAGGAGCCAGCGGCACTCGCACCGTTCGCGTTGCCATGGCCTGCGAACTCACTTCCACCAACAAGACCTTCTGCCGCTTGGAGCACTCCCCATCATTGCGCCCACTCGGTGTGCGGAGCCCTGCCAGGTAGTGCAACTCAGCCTCAGGCGTGGTCGGCGGCTCTGGCTCAGGCGCCCCCAACGAGTCATCCAGGGCGATCACCGCGTTGACACTTGTTGCTGGGAGGTCTCCATGCAGTTGTTGCTCGTCCTCAGAGTCCGTGGGGAGGCGATGGCCGAAGAGCATGACAAAGTTGTCAGACTCAAGCAAATCCAATTGATTCGCCACGAGGAGGGGAATCCGTCCCAAAGTGCGCGCGCGATTCACAGCCAAGGCGACACTAGAGTATGGCGGGCAGACCAGTTCATGCAAGCCATCCTTCGAGAGGGCGGCCTCCTCGGTTACCGTAGAAGGGCTGCATGCAAACATCTCTTTGAAAAGAGAAGTGAAGTTTGGCTTCACAGCCTGCACAGGGTAAATCACGGTGACGCGAAGCCTACGCGGCGCAGACGGTGCCGGAACGCCCCTGCAATACAAGCCTGCAGCGCCAGATGGCCGGTGTGGAAGCGAAATCTCCCTAGCTCCAAAAGAGTGCTGGACTGCCCCACGGATTTCAGCAGTGAATGGAGCCTCGTCCTGCAGTCTACCATAAAGCCGTTCGCAAATCTCCTGAACGTTGCCAAGAGACAGCATTGGCGGCACGTCAAACCCTGCGGTGTCGTAATTCGGAAGCATGATGAACGTGCTCGCAGCATCGAGGCCCATGGACTGCATCGACTTCAAGCACAGGTCTCCAATGACAGCAAACGCATTCTCAGAGGTGTTCGAGTAGGCGTTAAGCGGATACGCGACCAGCCTTGCAGGCCGAACCGCTTCCAATTTGACAGGCGGAAGGTGTTTATCAGGATAGATGAACTTCTGAAGCAAGTCGGCCAACGGCCTCCACTGCACTGGGAGACGACCCATTGCGGTACCATCCACGGGCGGGTTAGCCCGGAAGTCAAGATGCACCTGATGATGCGAGAGTCCAGACACTGTACCAACATCCAAGCTGGACAAGGCTCTTCCACACAGGCCGGCGACCCTTGCCATAAGCCATTTCGGTGGCAAAACATGGCTGTGGAGCAAATGCACAGAGCCATCACCAGCCGTGTACTCTGTGCCAAGACACGCCTCGCAGATATCGCGACCACACCTGCAAACACCGTCACGGAGAGGGCCCTGCATCATTGCGAGCAAGAATGTGTCGTCGCCACCAACAGTACCAGAGCACACCCCAGCCAAAAATTTCGTCCAAAAAGCAATCCAAGTGTCGGATCCAACAGGCGCATGACACAAAGCGTCATCAAAGTAGGTGAGCGCAGGAGGCTTCTCCAAGGCCTTGCTCAAAACCATAACCTGCACCTGAGGGCGGATTACAGGAAAATGGCGCGGGGACAGAAACGGGTAGATCACTATCACACCATTCAGGCAGTTGGCGAGGTAAACGAGTGTTGCCCCAGATGACAACGACGACATGACAATGTCGAGATCGTCTGGGGACAATAGTTCACCAAGAAGTGACTCCCAGTAAGGGTCCAACCTCTGACCTTTGCCCCTGTTGAAGTTCACCAAGTAGCCATCCACCACTACGTTCCCGCGCGCCATCGACTCAAAAAAATGAGCTGAACAGCTCCTTCACAATGGATGGCATCGGGCCTTGGGCGTCAAGCATGAGCGCAAGGGATTGGGCGTGCCAGGCAAGCGTGACTCGCCCATCAGTGCGAGAGTCAGATCCCCGCAGATCGAGACGGGCTTTCGGTACAGTACGGGCCCTGTCAATGGTTTCTTGAGGAAGAGAGTTCAGCCATTCAAGCGCCCTGCCGAGCTCAATGCTGTCCCAACGCTCAGATACCATCAAACTGTCTCGAGTTGGACAGTCAACTATGTCAGCCTTGTGAAGGATTTCGACCCACCTGCGCACAGAGCCAGGCAAAAATGGATCCGGCGAAAGGTCGAGCCATCTGAATGGCACGAAGCAGATCTTGTTACAAAGATGTACAGCGAGAGAGCCGTACGTGCCAACACGCGACGCCAGTGTTGCGAAGATTTAATCTGCACAGCCTCGTACTCCGACTGCACAATTTTCTGAGATCCCTCCTCAAGGGGTTGCAACTTGCTGCGCTGAAAGGACAGCAGCACATTAAGCATCCTCCGAGCGTGGGCATCCCCATTGATTGCATCATCCAAGATCCTGGCTTGGGCGAGAGCTGCGGTGCGTTTGTTATCCCCCCTCTTCGTGGGAAAACCTGCATGTGAGGACCAGTCAATGTCAAACAACGCAAGGTGGTGAGTATCACCTGTACGTAGGAAGAGTTGAAGCTCAGACAGCATCTGAGAGCAGCTGGAGGCCAGTGACGCAGGCGCAAACCCCTCAACGAGTTCTTGCAGGAGGTCGGGCATCACCTCTGACAGGGGCTTCCAAATGCCGCACACCGCTCGTGCGTGTCTGATCCACGCCCGAAACCGGCCCACTTCGTTGCCATCAACTCGCACCGATGTAGAAAGCGGCGCCAACTGCACTGGAGAGCAGTGGCGTTTCGCGACGGCGACGTTGTGAGGATCCACGCAGAGTTTTGCTGGTCCAGGTTCCCCACGGGATGCGCTCCGCATCAGCTCCTCACGTGAAAAGGACTGGTCAACATCGACGAACAAGGGGTTGAAAAACAGCGCCCTCAATTCCTCGAGGCCGCACGCGTTGAGAGCTGCATCTGATACGCTGCCGCGAATGAGGTCATCCTCAACAAGGGTCGCAAAATGATGGAGCGGCAGCATATTTGCTCCAGGATGGTAGACTGTAGACTCCCGCGAGAGCACC